ATATTTTGCAAATGGTATATGAATGAAATCAAGTAGTTAGAATCAGAAAAAGGATTATTAATATTTTGACAAAGAGAAACTCATTTGGAAAAGTGAGTCCTTATCATAAAAAAAATTGAAATTTCTAGAGTGAATTATAAAAATATTCGTTGAATTGAAGTTTTAAAAATAGATTTCTTATGGAATAGATAAATAAAATCATAGCAAGTGCTAATTGCTCAAGCATTATGGAAGCTTCTGTTTATGTAATAAATATTGATTAAATTTTACATATTTTGTTTTCAAATAAGATGCACATTGTAAAATTGTTAAAAGAAATTATTCAACGACAGTGCAGCGAAAAGATAATTTTCACTTATACATTGGCGCATAGAATTTGTTAGAATTAATCCAGTATTTCGACAATACTATCAAACTTATACAGTATTTATAGTAACTAAAAATTCATTGAAAGTGTGACATGATTTTGAATGCATTTATCAAATAAAATCGTTTTTTTGGATATATTTTGAATAAGATATGTATAGAATTAATAAGGTATATATTTATCATACCTCTTTGAAAATTGACAATTAAGCAATAATTGATAAAAGCATTCGTTAAAGATGACAGGCAAAACATGGCAAATAGATTATAGTAACAATAGATCAACAGGGCGGCCAACAACAGGCAGATCTCAGGCAATAACGAGACGACAGCAGTACAACGCTAAGGACATCTCAAATGAAGAGACGGCTGAAGAAAAAAAATTAACAGTCTGCTTCTCTGAGCAATGTGCTCGTTTTTGATGGAAATTCTTGCTACAGAATAATAATTAATAGAAAACTTATCCACAAACCAGAAAAGTAAAGATGTAAAGTAAATCACCTTGATGAGCCAATTCTCGGATAAAATAGACATGTTATGGCAATGCTATGTTATGGATCTACATTTGTGGGAGTGGTAATAAGTTGAATGGCCAAAAAGCTATGTATTTGCTATGCAATCAGGCGTTTTACACATAAATCCTAAACTCCAAATGCCCCAAATGTGAAATATCAATTTCATCATTAGAGCAACTTTCTGGTGTCTCTTTGACACCACAAATATGTGAAATTAGGTTTTATATGTAAAAAGCCAGATCGCGCAGCAAATAGAAAGCTTTTGGCAGTTCGTTACTACCAACTCATACGAATATATTTAGAAACATCAATTTTTCTTAAGTCTGAAATGTTCAACAACTAAGTTTTATTGCGTAAATGTCATATAATGATACGATTTAGTATTTGATAAATTTTATTATAAAAATATAATTTCGATTATGTACCTAATGATGTTCTAATATTTACAAATAAAGGTAGTTAGATATCATTATTCACTTCACGTAGGGTAAGTTATAGTAATCGCAAAAAATCGAAAATGACATTTTTTATATTTCTTTACGTTTCAAAGGTTTCTGAACATTTTTACATACCTCAGCAAAAAAATATGTATGTGTGTGCATGTGCGGATACAAATTTTCGTCGACGATGTTGAAAATGCGGATCAACCGATTTGAATGATTCACAGAACATTCGATTTCTATTAATAAGAAGAAGTGCTGATTAGTTTATGAACAAGACAGGTATAGCCGTTTCGAAGATACCGGGCAAAAATGACAAAAATGATAAAATGAAGAAATGATTAAATTTTTGGAAAGGCAGGCCTAGCGGTTTGAGAGATCGAGTAAAAAAGTGAAAAAAAAAATGCCATTTGAAGATCAAAAATAATCATTAGACAAGAGCACATCAAATTATCTGATATTTTATAGAGATTTCATTAATAATTATTTCTATGGGTTCCATATCAATCATTATCCGTTTAGACTGTAACGCGGCGCTTACGCGCTTCGATATTTCTTTTCTAAAACAGCCACGCAGCACGATCTCTTTGAAAAAAGTTCAAAATCTTCAAAAAATGTCACAATATTAAAAAAAGTCAAAAATGTCATTTTTTCAAAAAAATTCGAAAATGTCATTTTTTCAAAAATTTTCGAAAATGTCATTTTTTTCAAAAAATTTCGAAAATGTCATTTTTTTCAAAAATTTTCGAAAATGTCATTTTTTCAAAAATTTCGAAAATCTCATTTTTTCAAAGTTTTCAAAAAATTTAAGGCTGTTTTAAAAATTTTAATTTTTCGGTAAGGGTGGTTTCAACAATTTGCCTTAAGGCACGATGCCATGCTACACTAGTTTAAATTAAATTAGTATCTCATTTTTTCAAGGTTTTCAACTCAGCCTTTTTTAAAAAATTTAATTTTGGTAAGGGCAGTTTCAACCATTTGCCTTAAGGCATGATGCCATGCACCACTAGTTTAAACTAAATTTGTTTTTTTTTGACAAAAATACAATTCTGTGGATTTGATTCTAGTACGTACTGATACTCTCCCTCAAAGTAGAGGAACAAAAGGCATAGGAGGAGCTTGAACTGCTAGTACTAATTTATAGATAGTTATCCCGACATTTGTTGTTCGTTGTTTGGGCTATGAAAGCCAATTTGTTTTGATATAAAGTAATCATATCTAATTTATTTTAAACAAAAATACTGTTTTGTGGAATTGATCCTGGTAGATATAGAAGCATGTAGAGAAGAGTCATGCCTCTACATATAGATCCGTAACATAGAAATACCATAACATACTTATTTTATCCAAGAATTGGCCTCAATCTGGCATTTTCCAGCTGTCACTAAATTCACTAAACTCTCTTTGGTTTTTAATAACCTGTATTTTTTACAACTATTTTATCCGGCAAGAATTTCCACCTGAGCATTCGACCAGCACATCGCTCCATACTCACGGATATCCTTCGGCACTGGATATAGAATTGAGGCTGCCGGCCCTTTCGCCGCGAGTCGGGGCAATGTAATTGGCGGGCGTCACTTCTTGCGAACGCTGAATGCTGCCGGATGACGCGCGTTTTCTGTTCGATGACGGACGCTCTGTCCAGACGTAATGAATAAATAGATTTTACAACAACGATATAAAAAATAATTCAATCACAAGGCAAGTAAATCAAAAAGAACATAATAATATTAATCTGCTGCTGCTGCTGCTGCTGCTGCTGATATAATAAAAAAAAATAGTGCTGCTGCTGATATATGAAACAAATATCATTAGAGAGCTGATATGTACAAGATACTTCTGGGTCAATTCTTGGATAGACATCTCACGGCAAGTTTATACTCATTTCGTAAGAACGTTATTATAAGTGTAACAGCTATTTTCGGACACCAGCTTTACACATGGTACTCAGGAGATAGCATTTGAAAATTCAAATATCTAAGTACTGAAGCGTTGCATAAAGTGTGCGCAAATTAAACTAATGTTATTTTGACATTCATGCTATTTGTAGGTTAGATTTTAGCTGCTCTCAGTATCAAAAATGTAAATAAACGCTGATATAGTCATAAATAATCACGATAATAGGTGAACCGAGAATATCAAATTATCAACATAATCCTATTTTAGAGTATGTTACCACTGAAGACCAGTCCAAGAATAAACCCAATTAAGATCGAATAATTTTTTAAATGTTTGTACGCTTCAATCAAGAAAAATGTAGTATTTTAAAATAATCCGAGATGAGTTGTTCATACTTAAATATGTTTAGGAAAACTATGTAACATAACAGATTAAAGTTTGAATCGTCTTTTTTTAAATATCTCGATTCTCCTTAAATTATTAAATAAACTAACCTTAAACTATTTTAGAGTATGTTACAACTGAAGATCAGTCCAAGAATAAACCCAATTAAGATCAAATGATTTTTTAAATGTTTGTATGCTTCAATCAAGAAAAGTATTATAAAATAAACTAAGATAAGTTGTTCGTACTATATGTGTCAGAAAAACTATGTAGCAGATTAGAGTTTAAATCGAGTTTTTTTAAATATTTTGATTCACCTTAAATTATTAACAAATATTAAGACACAATAAATATTTCAATATCAAAGTAGCTGAAATCAAAATTCATTAATAGATAGTACACAACCACATTGAGACACGCCTGTTAGAGAACAAATATGTTAGTTAAAATTCTTATAACTATGCATTTTCATAATATCTGAAAGAAACAGAACTGCATTAGTGGTAACTTATCTATTTACAAACCAAAGTTTTCCTACCGTTAAAAGTCAAAAATGGTCAAATAACTTATTTAAAAATGGATAAAAACGTGTGATTTTTTTTGTAGTTTGTGAATTATTATGACTTTTAAAATTTGCGTGTGAATCAATGGTTAAAAAAGCACGGTATTAAAAATTTGAATTATTTTGCTATAACTAGCGAGTGAAATATCACATCACCAAAAAGACATAAGTTATAATTATTTATAAGCAGGTGTACTTTGCAATGCATCTAAAATAAAACAGCACTATTCTAGACAATTCTATTGCATTATTTAAACATATCTATGCACTGATTCTATTTACACTCATAATTAAAATTTTAAAACTTTTTATCTGATTTTGAAGCCAATCGTTTAATATTATGAGTATAATATCTATTTGTAATTCTCGCTACTTAATCTTTATTTGCAACCTGTAATTTCCTTTTTTCATCATAAATCTGAAAAAATACGCACGTGAAAAACATAAATATAAAAATAATACAGAGACAAAAAATAAAAAAATTAAATCAAGCAATAAAACGATAGTAATTTTTGAAAAATAACCATACCGATTCAACTTAAATAATTATGCAATATTTAAATATTTGTTTACATAACATAACATAAAATAAGTCACAATAATACAGATACAAAACACAACAATAGGTCAAATACAATTTGAAATAATAATTTTCCGATTGTCACATGTCACAAATTTGGCATTAAACGAAGACTGTTAGGGTGTAACACATTGTGTGCGAATGTTGAAACATGTATCGTTTATGGTCATAAAATAAACAATCTGCAGTTCTACGTGAAGTATCCAACCTGTCGCCATCGTTGGAACCCTCTCCATCGCTGGACTGCGAAGACGCCCTCGAGGAAACAGTGTTAGGATGAAGACGCATCAGGGCATCACCAGGAATGACCTCCTCGCTTCGGTGCACCGTGAAAGAGTTCTTGCCGCGCTTGCCGAAACCCATGCGTCTTTTACGGCCTGGACGCGTGGTTAGTCATTTAAAATTCATTTGAATAACAAGGTAATAGATAATCATAGACATTCTTGTATCAGCGGGTATATAAGATTTAGTGTGATTAATTTGTGTATTATATTGCCGTTCTCGCAAAAACAAGTGCAGAGATCGTTGGAATAATTGAAATGTATAAAGAATGTCCTGGCTTAATACTAACTGTTATCCATAACCAATTACCCATTTGGAAATTGGGGAATAAACAACCGCAATTATTTTGGTGAAGTCCAGAAATAATGAAGACATATGCTAGATATGTTTATACACTAATAAAACAATGATTCAAATAAGAAAAACTTAGTTTAGATAAAAATGCAACCAGTAGAATGCTGATTTTATATATAAAATTATTTTCGTCGACAAAACGTAACGATTTGTTCTCTTATCACTGTTTTAGCTAATTCATCAAGGGCTTGTGATAGTATGTAATATTCTTCACTTTGCAAGTATCTTGTTACATTTAATTAGATATTAGAGTAGCGAATTTTCGAGTGCTAAACGTTATAACAAAGTTGTTTTAGCGAAAATGATCAGTTCAATTTATTTATAAAAATGCATAAACATTTTCTACCTTGCTCTGCAGACTCCTTGTTTTCAAAAAAATTAATATTATTAATAAAGTTATTTCACATATATGCGTTTGATTTTGTATAAACTGTATTCTACATTTACTTCAATTTGTAAAATATCTTCTTCACATACAAGTATGTAACAAACCCTTGCATCTACACATTAATAGAAATCTTTCCAATTATCCCTTTATCCTGCGTTCACTATCATTGTATAATATTCAAAATTTCCTTCATTAACCGAAATAAAATTTTTCACTAACCTGTCGCAGACAGCTGTGATGTCGAGTTGCTCTTTTTGCCCATGCCAGTCGCTCCAGGAAAATCAGATCGTGTACGTTCAGCCCTCGTACTACCACCAGAACTATCTCCACTCTTCGTAGGTGAACGCGAATCGTCAGTCTTTGAAGCTCTTGATGGTTCTTCAAGACTCTGAGGTGTAGGCGTTAGGTGAGCAGCTGTGTCGCTCAGGCTGCCATCTAGGAATAGAATATAGGATTAAAGGATTTGTATCTTGAAACACTGCACTATGTTATCACAAGTTATCATACCAGTCTTATCATCGGGTGGCACATCGGTGTTGGATAAACTTCTAGTGAATTGCCCTCGTTTACTTCCTCTTCTAGATGGTGGAGCATCTCTATCAAGCCCAAGTCCTTCACGATCCCGTGGACTTCTACTACCAACTTCAACTCGGACGAGACCAGAATGTTCATAGTCCGCACTAGAGAATTAATTACATAATTAATTTAAAGGTATATAAAATACTCCATACATTTTTTTCTGAATTTATTTTACTACCTAAGTCCTCTGGAACCTCGCGGTCGCTCGCTCTGTGTGGAAAGAGCACTACTTGTCACACTAACTACTGATTCCAAATCGGAATCCAAACCACCAGGATAATCTTTATCAGGCGATAGTAGATGACGTGGTCTTGATCGTCTATCTTCATACGAATGCGTCGCCAAGTCACTATCAGAAAGACCTGCATAATGTCTATCCCAGCCTGAAATAATGAAAAAAAAATTATATTCAATATCCATCATCTCGGGTTTTGCAAAACATAACAATAAGTACATTTGTAAATGTGATCTACGATGTAAACAAACATTAATAAATATTATTAGGAAAGGTAAAGATCGTATTAAACTTTATTAAATTTACTTCTTAAATTAATTTCAAAATCAGTTCAATTTCTAATTACCAGAACCCGTGCTTCTGTATGTCTGCATTTGCCGCAGTCGATGCTTCATAGATCTTGCTCTATCGTCTAGATCTTGAGTCATCATACGATCTCTTATTGCCCTATGAAGAGTCTGAAAAAAAAGTTTAGTTAAATATTTTATAAATAAATAAATATAATGATCATTCCTTGGTTCCTACACATTATATTAATATTTTTTGCTACAGTTAAATAAAATTTCATGAAAGTCTCTTGATTGACATTTGATGGTCAGAAAAATGTCAATAGTATGATTTTGAGTAAGTGCACAATGACGTATTAAAGATAACAGGTGTTGATGTATGTTTTTGTATATTTCTACATGAAAAACAGAAGTTTTTTTTCCTACCTGAGGTATTTGCGGCAACTGCCGTTTCTTCGGTGACCCAGTCGGCGTGGCAGTTGCACTCCTACTTTGAAATCTATGAGAAATACCCGTATGACCGCCCATACCTCCACTGCTCATATATCCGCGATCTTCCCTCGTATAATAATAGCCTCTTTCCGCATAGCCACCATCTGATGACAACCTAACCTCAGGTGGCGACAGACTACGATGACCTGTCGGTGATTTGCTCCTGGACCTTGAATGGTGCCTAGACGAAGTTGTTGAGTGATATTGACTACCGTGATGATCTCTCCCGTAGTGGTTACCACTCGCATGATGACGCGAACTAGATCTGTGATGGTTTTCTGATGGAGAATCCGTAGGCGCTGCAGAATGAGAACGTTGGCCTGATGCGATTGGACCATTCTGGAATAATAATAATTGTTGAAATATAAAGATGGTTTTGTGATTCTGTATAAGTAATTATATACCTTTCTGTAACCGTGTCCGTATGGCAAAGTGTCGCATTTCTCTCGATTCATCATACCAGCTGCTCGTTTTCTGCCCTGCGGAGACATATCTCTCCGCGATCTACGTTCACTCACATCCATCGGGTGATAAGAATGCTATTCGGAGAAAGAACAATATCAATTTAATACAAAACCTCATTCGTCTCTTAAATCTCACTTGATTATAAAAATGTAGACATTTTAAATTATGGCATCAGTATATGTCTCTTATTACCTCTGGTGGAGGACTCGAACTAGATCCAACACTGGAAACACTAGCGCCGTCTGCAACAAATCTTCGACTGCCGCCTGTACCAGTGCTGGTGGCGGTTCCCGAAACCGCCGAACCGCTTCCGCCAGCAGTTTCTGATGCTGCTAAATCGAGCAGCAATAAATCACACTCTGATGTTGTGTCCGAATCAGACAAACGAGATGTAGTTGTTGAAGGAGGGGAAAGGTGATCAGTCGGTGTCAGGATCATGTCCAGATCGTGAAGACCTCCAGTAGTTGGTACTGCAATCGGATCATATTCGCGTCGATACTGAAATAAGTAAAAGTACAATCTGTAGATTATCAGTAAAACATAATTAATTATATATTTTACTATTAGATAAATTTTTTTCTTTAAAAAGGCAGAACGTTGAAAAATAATTCACTTACTGAATGTGATAGCATAACATCTTCATGGGCAGCAAGATAATACCACTCAGGTTCATCGTCTAATGGACAAACACTTAAATCTAAAAGAACTTCACCCAAGAAATCGTTTGCACCGTAGCGAACGTAATCCCACACTGTTACCTATAAACCAAATTAGATTAAATATTTTTCTTGGAAAAATATTATTATATTTCTTGCATTCAAAGAATTTAGCTTGAAAATGGAAAATTATTGAGAGAATTGGCGAATAATTATTTGATTTATTCTTTGAGTCTCTTGTGGTGCAATTTAATTATCAAAGTATTTTCACAAAAGCTAGTAGCAGTATTTCATAAATCTATTCACCATAATGCTCTTCATACAAATATTGAACTTTACCTCAAATATTCTATGTTTAAGGTCCGCTCTTCTTATCCCACTATATACGAAAGTTTGTGACCAACGAGGATCATTTGTGTTTGCTAACGTTTTCGTTCTTCTTTTCGATTTTTCACTTCTATCAGGTAAAAGAAAGATTTTTGCATAAGGATTTCTTGGTTGACCGCCTTGTCTTGGAGTTAGACCAGCGCAACATACGATGGTTATAATTAATTGAAGAGCAGCAGGATCAAAACCCAGTTTTACCTTGAAAATTAAGAGATGGAAACTTTGATAATCGGTTATTCAATCAAATTTTTGGATATGCATTGTAGAAAACTGATTTGACTAAATGTGCTAAAATATGTCAAATTGTGATTACATAATAAGTTGCACCTGCATAATCAGGTTACTTTTAGATTATCCAAGTATAGTTGGTAAACATAAGAATTAAAACTGTGTTCGCAAATTAGGGATGAGACTTCAGAAAATGCAGAAATAATATTAACAATAATTTATTGTAAAAAATTGTAGCTTTTCTAACCTGTAGTCTACCCCCTACGTTAGGTTGAGAAGCATCTGGTCTGCCACCAGCCTGATGTCCTCTAGTCGACCTGGAGCCGTGGGCATGCAAATCAGGAGATCCTGGCGAAGTGACAAGAACACTTGGTTTATCGCTTCGACCAGTCGAATCAATACTCGAATATAAATCTGTGATGATAAGAAAAATCAAGGAATTAATGTAACATTTAATATTCGTTTAACGTTTACAATAAAAATTTTCCCAAATAATTCAATGAATCCAATGCTTAAAATTTTTCCTACATAATTCGGCTGACAAATGAGATGTGTTACACGTGTTTATTATATTATATAGTTAAATAGTTGGTAAATATAAATTTACCAAATAGTATAGAAAGCATTCAATGTAAAATCACACTGAAAAAAAATAATATTTGTATTCTCTGATTACGTTGATCAAATTTTCAGAAATCTAATGTGATCAAAAGCTATTTAGATTCTTATGTAAATACCACTTATTAAAATTACTAGGTAAACTAAAACTAACTAAAATAAGGATGCTCCAATTAATTATATTTTAAATAATCTTAATTTAATTTAAGTTTCTGAAGCAATTTGGTAGATTAGACAACAATTTAAATACTGATAAGATAAATGGCTGTTTTTAGAACATTGAAAATGTCTTAATAATTAAAATGCCATTTGATATTTATTTATTATTAATTTTTAACTTAAAGATAAATGTTTAAATTTATTACTGTGTGATCCTTTTAGTACAAAAACATAGTCTGGCTTTGAGCCAGTTATTTCTTTATCACTTCAAAATAGTTTGAAAACACTGAATGGTAACATTATAATCGACATTCTGTTAACACAATATTGTGAAATAATTATTGCATTAACCATTGATTACCATAAAAGTATTGAATTAAGCTATATTAAATTAGTTCAATTGAAGGGTTGTTGCTCCCAAATTTAGGAAACAAATTATGTGCTATGTACATGAATATGAAAAACCATACAGATGATTTTTACATTTAATATGTAAAAAACATACATATCAAATGTATAATAGAAAATAAGTTTTAACTACGATTCATGCATGTATGTGTCGTGTTTAATTGTATTTATTCCAACCTAATCAATTACTTCAAATCCAACTGATTATATATGGTAATATAAAATCGAAAAAAATATATATAAATTAAAACAAATTATAAATTTAAATATTGCTTTAGTCGGGTCAGTATATTGCTTGCTGTAAAAGAAGAGGTTAGTGAATATTTCTGCTACAGATAATTTTCACATTGAATACCTGAAATCAAAATATTAAATTAGGATGAATGCATGATGTGAATAAATGAAGTCTTTGATGTATATATCAATTAGCATATGTGATATCTACCATTTTCATTCAAGTATAAAATATAAAAAAACAATTATGAATCCAGACGAAAGTTGCAAATTTAAAGATTGATCACTCAAAAATAATAATGATAGGAATAAAAATTTCAAATAGTATTGTTCGAAGTGTTGTGATATTTGTGTTGATTGTTCGCAATACAAATTTAATAAAATTTATTTTTAAGAAAATCTACAAACAATTTATTTCATATGCTGTTGGTTACACAAAAAATAATGTTAGTTAAATGTTACTCTAATATATTACTTCGCTAGCAAAGTTGTAGACGTTGATTTAGTCAACTCTCTCTATACACATCATAATCATAAATGAAATAATTCGACTATAAATGGATGAAGAATAAACTTTCAGTGCAAACTATTTTTTTCCTAACCCATTACCATTATTATTGAACTCGTTTTAATCTACCTTCATGAGGAGGAACTGGTGAAGAATGTGCATGCCTCCAGGATGCCTGAGCAGCTCGCCTATTAATCGGCCTGGACACAATTAGTTCGACTTGTGGTTCTTGCTTCGATTCTGCTATAATATCGTAAACTTCTTCGGCAGATTTGTTACGCAGCAATCGTCCGTTCCATTCTATGACCTCGTCACCTGAAAAAAAGAAGAGATATGAAAATATAGGTAGTGCAGCATTTGAAAATAATACAAGAATAAATGATTAATATTCTCTAATATAATTTTCTTCTAATTCTTCTAAATCTCAGTTTAATATAGGGTAGGGCAGTGCACAAAAGTTCAATTTGACTAAGCAATTGTATTGTGAAAACCGAATCACAATAAATAACAAATATCAAATTAACAACTATCTGACTATGTTCAGTAAACTCGCAGCTAATTCATCATAGAAATGTGTTTTTTTCTTGTTCTTAAAAGTTAGTTATCTGGTCCTTTATACAGCACAGACGGGGTAAAATGGGGCCGTTAGGGAAAAAATAGATCAGAAGTCTTATTTCTAAATTTAAAAGGATTTTACAAAATAATAGCTACATTATGCAACCAATGCAAAATATAAATACCATGGGTACATGTTTTGCTAAGATAACACTGTATACAACCTTGATCTGATATTTTGTCAGAAATATTCATCAGAAGTAGTTGAATAACTATATATCGAATTCATCTCTTGTAAAAGTAAATTTTTTAACTTGAGTTATTTTTATTGACTATTTTTATTGCTACATCTTTGCCAGGGTAAAGGTTCAGTTGGTCGTTTTAGCCCACTCACGTGTAAGCTTTTATAAAGGTTATATAAAAAAACTTGAAAATAACTTAAAATTAACAATATATCATATGAAACAATTATATAAAGTATTCTTAGAAATTATATTAAAGTCTCTTGAACTAAATAACAGTGCTCACAACCAAAAAAAATAGCAATAAAAGATAATACTTTTATTATGGATTTTCTAGTGCAATCTTTTTTAGTGGTCATACTTAAAAATTATATTAAGGTCTCGTGAACTAAATAACCAAAAAAATTAACGACGAAAGAAAATACTTTTGTCATGGATTTTCAAGCATTGCTGTTTAGCTCCCGATAGCAACGTCGTAGAAATTAAGGTGATGTCTGGTTACACATCTTTTTCCCCCTACTTTCATATAATGTTGTTAAAATTTTTGTAACTTTACTTCATTTTGAGATCGGTGGTAGACCTTTTTACCCATAAATTTACCCTCTTTATATAATTTTACCCACACTACCCTCTTCATATAATTTAAAAATGGGTTTATTTATACGATTTGTCTGGTTGTATAGGTACATATGAAAGAAGTCTAATAAAATAATTTTAAATAGTAAGAGATTCTGGGTGTTCAATTCAGTAGTGTGATAAAAAATCACAACAATTACACAATTGTGATAACATTACAATAACATTAATCAACCACTTTATCGATTAAGTTTATTTAAAACTTTGAATCTATCTTTAAAAAATCAAAGTCAGTTTTAGTAATTTTAAACAGAATAATTTCAAATAGTAGGAGATTTTGAATATTCAATTCGGTAATATGATAAACAAAATTACAACAATTACACAATTGTGTTAATATTACCAAAACATTAATTAATCACCTTATCAATTAAATTTATTCAAAACTTTGAACCTATCTTTGAAGAATCAAAGTCAGTTCTAGTAATTTTAAATAAAATAATTTTAAATAGTAGAAGATTCTGAGTTTTTACTTCAGCAGTGTAATAAACAAAATTACAACAATTACACAGTTGTGTTAACATTACAATAACATTAATTAACCACCTTATCAATTAAGTTTATTCAAAACTTTGAACCTATCTTTGAAAAATCAAACTAGTAGTTTTAAACAAAATAATTTTAAATAATAGAAGATTCTGAGTTTTCAATTCATCAGTGTAATAAACAAAATTACAACAATTACACAGTTGTGTTAACATTACAATAACATTAATTAACCACCTTATCGATTAAGTTTATTGAAAACTTTGAACCTATCTTTGAAAAATCAAACTAGTAATTTTAAACAAAATAATTTTAAATAGTAGGAGATTCTGGGTATTCAATTCAGTAGTGTGATAAAAAAATCACAACAGTTACACAATTGTATTAACATTACAATAAAATTAATTGATCACCTTGTCGATTGAGTTTATTCTAAATTTTGAACATATCTTGAAAAATCAAAGTCAGTTCTAGTAATTTTAAACAGAATAATTTCAAATAGTAGACAATTTTGGGTATTCAATTCAGTAGTGTGATAAAAAAATTACAGCAATTTCACAACTGTGATAACATTACAATAACATTAATTAACTTCCTTATCGATTAAGTTTATTCAAAACTTTGAACCTATCTTTGAAAAATCAAACTAGTAGTTTTAAACAAAATAATTTTAAATAATAGAAGATTCTGAGTTTTCAATTCATCAGTGTAATAAACAAAATTACAACAATTACACAGTTGTGTTAACATTACAATAACATTAATTAACCACCTTATCGATTAAGTTTATTGAAAACTTTGAACCTATCTTTGAAAAATCAAACTAGTAATTTTAAACAAAATAATTTTAAATAGTAGGAGATTCTGGGTATTCAATTCAGTAGTGTGATAAAAAAATCACAACAGTTACACAATTGTATTAACATTACAATAAAATTAATTGATCACCTTGTCGATTGAGTTTATTCTAAATTTTGAACATATCTTGAAAAATCAAAGTCAGTTCTAGTAATTTTAAATAAAATAATTTTAAATAGTAGAAGATTCTGAGTTTTTACTTCAGCAGTGTAATAAACAAAATTACAACAATTACACAGTTGTGTTAACATTACAATAACATTAATTAACCACCTTATCAATTAAGTTTATTCAAAACTTTGAACCTATCTTTGAAAAATCAAACTAGTAGTTTTAAACAAAATAATTTTAAATAATAGAAGATTCTGAGTTTTCAATTCATCAGTGTAATAAACAAAATTACAACAATTACACAGTTGTGTTAACATTACAATAACATTAATGAACCACCTTATCGATTAAGTTTATTGAAAACTTTGAACCTATCTTTGAAAAATCAAACTAGTAATTTTAAACAAAATAATTTTAAATAGTAGGAGATTCTGGGTATTCAATTCAGTAGTGTGATAAAAAAATCACAACAGTTACACAATTGTATTAACATTACAATAAAATTAATTGATCACCTTGTCGATTGAGTTTATTCTAAATTTTGAACATATCTTGAAAAATCAAAGTCAGTTCTAGTAATTTTAAACAGAATAATTTCAAATAGTAGACAATTTTGGGTATTCAATTCAGTAGTGTGATAAAAAAATTACAGCAATTACACAGTTGTGTTAACATTACAATAACATTAATTAACCACCTTATCGATTAAGTTTATTGAAAACTTTGAACCTATCTTTGAAAAATCAAACTAGTAATTTTAAACAAAATAATTTTAAATAGTAGGAGATTCTGGGTATTCAATTCAGTAGTGTGATAAAAAAATCACAACAGTTACACAATTGTATTAACATTACAATAAAATTAATTGATCACCTTGTCGATTGAGTTTATTCTAAATTTTGAACATATCTTGAAAAATCAAAGTCAGTTCTAGTAATTTTAAACAGAATAATTTCAAATAGTAGACAATTTTGGGTATTCAATTCAGTAGTGTGATAAAAAAATTACAGCAATTTCACAACTGTGATAACATTACAATAACATTAATTAACTTCCTTATCGATTAAGTTTATTCAAAACTTTGAACCTATCTTTGAAAAATCAAACTAGTAATTTTAAACAAAATAATTTTCAATAGTAGAAAATTCTGGGTGTTCAATTCAGTAGTGTAATAAATAAAATTACAACAATTACACAATTGTGTTAACATTGCAATAACATTAATTAACCACCTTATCGATTAAGTTTATTCACAACTTTAAACCTATGAAAAATCAAAGTCAGTTCTAGTAAATTTAAATAGAATAATTTCAAATAGTAGGAGATTCTGGATTTTCAATTCAGTAGTGTGATAAACAAAACTTTGAACCTACCTTTGAAAAATCAAAGTCAGTTCTAGTAATTTTAAATAGTAGGAGAATCTGGGTTTTCAATTCAGTAGTGTAATAAACAAAATTACAACAATTACACAATTGTGATAGCATAACTAACTAACTAATAATTAACCACCCTATCGATTAAGTTTATTTAAAACTTTGAACCTATTTTTCAAAAATCAAAGTCAGTTCTAGTAATTTTAAACAAAATAATTTCAAATAGTAGGAGATTCTGGGTTTTCAATTCAGTAGTGTAAAAAACAAAATGACAACAATTACACTAACGGTGATAGCATAACTAACTAGGTAATAATTAACCACCTCATCGATTAAGTTTGTTTAAAACTTTGAACCTATTTTTTAAAAAATCAAAGACAGTTTTAGTAATTTTAATTAAATTCCTGGTGCCGTCCAGTAACACAAATCTCTCTCGAGCGATTACATCTACTGGCGAAAACTTTGCAAAAAACTTGTTTTCTAGTCCTCCTCGGAGGATGTGTCGCCTCGCACGGGGCGATAGTTTCGGCTTTTCGGGCGGCGACATATCGCGAACGCAATTTATCAGGATTTTATCACGAACGCGAGAACCGTACAGAGCGATCCGCGCACGATCGCAAAGAAATAAGAAAAAGACGATGTAATTTCTGAAATGAATCAACCGTCGAAGGAAACTTCGACGCGCCGCGTGCGTTACTTTATTCTTCTAATAGTTTGATCCCAAGACCAAGAGACAAGATAAATATATCATTTACATTTCAGGATTACAAAACTTATTTTTGATGCACGCTTTCAATTTTTGGAGCAATGGTTTGATTTATTTGTACTGAGCACGACATGATAAACAGAACATACAGATTTGAAAAAAGTACAAGCGGTAAATATAATAATTCTACTCGTTAGAAATAGCATTTTCAAGTCGAATAAACTTCCCGATACCTATACATAACTATTATAAGTAAAATGTTTATTATTTCACAGATAAATATTTATTACAAACCACCTTTCGGAAAGAGCACATATTGCTAAATTAATTTGAAAGCTCGTATAAAAT